AATCTTTTACTGTGATGTTGTTTCTGGGTACCTAAATAATTAAGTTGCGCGTCAGTCACTACTGTGACACTTTTGAAAACATACTGACCTTTGTCCGCCATTTCTATCTGGATATTTACACGGTGACACCCCCCCCCCCCCCCAACGCATTGCATAATAGTAATCAATTTTTATTTACTGTAAGTATTTACTGTGTGGTATGCAGATGTCATGATATGGCAAACCAAACATCACACTCCTCCTCAAACACTGTCATATTCAGCGCAAATTTCTGTCCCAAATTATGACTGGTTAACAGTCCGATCAATACATAGTGACGTAACAAAATCAATCGGGATTAACCAGACCTCTAAATGTGTTACCGTAAAGTGTCTGGTGACAAACGCGCGAAATGTATTAAGCTCAATTAACTAATACATAACAGAATATTGCAGACAAACTAAATGTGTGATAAATAGCCCATGAAATCCCTTGTAAAAACTGGTTATTCTGAAGTTAATATAAAACAATATAAACGCTTGCTTTCCTATAAGCGAACAAACAAACATTCCCGTTTAATAATAATTTATATGTATATATATATATATATAACGCTGAGCGTTCCAGTTATTAAGCTGTCCCGGGAAGTTGTTTACAATAAACTTTAACATGCATTGTCAAATAAAATTAACCTTATACATACTGAATTTCACAAGTGATATTCAGTGCGATACGTAGACAAATAGTTGAGTTTTGATGAAAGTAAATATCCACCTTAAAAGCTTACTCCGAAAGTTTAAATGATAGGAAATATATTCAAACTAACAAAAGCTTGAAATTTCAAGTCAATTACCAAGAGAAGTCTTGGGTACTCAAAGTATCACGATAAGATTTTGCTCCTTTTTTCATATCTGATTTCAATTTATGTCTACTTTAATTTAAATTTTATTTTACTTTGGATTTAAGTTTGATATGATTTTAATATGATATATAAAATAGAATTTTAAATGGTCATACTTAAGTTATAATTGATCAATTTCATGAATTTGGGGACCAAAGTTGATTTCTAAAATAAAAGTTCTCTTTTATATGCGTGGTCTTTGTCTTTACCTTGTATTTAACCCATGTCATACACAAGATAGTATTTGATGAATATTTTGACAATGGAAAGGACATAGTCAGTGCTTTTACCAAATTATCACTGTTTTTATAAACTTATCACTTAATTTAATTTGAGTGTGTGAGATATGACTTCTATGCAATGTGTGAATCCAATAATTAGTAAAAATACAATATTATGGTAACAAAGACCATAGTACTACACCCGACAAAACATTTACCAATCCAAGCAAAACAGAACTTAATTCGTGTAGCTATATTTATTTTGACCACAAATAAACACCACTCCAACATTATCTGCGATATCACTCAAGGTGGAAGCGGACGATAAACCCTACAAACGAACCACTCCCTCCAACTTTCTGCTAATGGGTTTACCAGAAGTACCCATTTTATTCGGAAGGATTTAAATAGAATGATGTAAAGTAATGGCGTGGTTGACAAATCATTACCCGAATCTTTTTTTTTTAAAAAAACTATTACTTAGTCGAGCGTTATAATTTTGGTAATTTTTATATAAGGGTTGAGGCGTCATACGTAACAATTACATTGATTAGATTTCAAATTTGACAAGGCAGAATATAAACTGTTTTAACACAAATTAGTCAGACCTTTGTGGCTTAAATTTATATCAAATACACAAATTAATATGGTACGTTAGAAAACAATTTCTGCCACCTGTATTTTGAAAAAATACCCACTAGTTATATTTTGTATTTAAGGTAGACATTAAGATTGTTGTCCTGTCTTCTACCTTATCCGTTCGAATAATGCAATTGAAGTTTTCCGGATTTAATCGAATTGATCATGTCCAACAGGCCAGACCAGCAATATTGGTATTAGAAGCTGACTGAATTTCGCTCCTAGTATTGACATGTGTGTCGGATTACCAACCTTAAGGACAAACAAGCGTGATGTCTTGGTATTAATCTGCTATTGGTCCAGTTTCTGGTACCGGCTTTAACACGCTAAAAGCAAATACTTATCAAGTAGTACGTCTTTTGTCCGTCTGTAATATTTACACTAATTTGACCTCTCAGCGTATTTACGGTTCCGATGGCTCTAGTTATATTAACCATTTATTCGGTTAAATCTCTCTTCATGCAGTAAGTCTGGAATTAGTTTCTCGAATAATGGTGGACTGGTGTAACCGGTTATCTAGCTAGTGTTGTTACATCAAAGTATATTCGGCGTTTTGAAAAGTTAACACATGTGATGTCGTTCTTTTGTACTGGAGCTTTGCTATATACACTGCATACAATATTCTAATAACCAATAAAATTCTTTCCCCGAAATCCCGTACGTAAATTGACGTTATCACCGCACTATAAAAAATGAATTAGCTTCTAGATAAAGCTTTGAACAGTAATGCATAATATAGTCATTCATGGCGTAATTTAATTCATGCTAACCCTACAGTAGTAGAAAAACAAACGACATAATATATATTATCGAACTATTAGTGCCTTATAACAGTCCTAAATCTTAATGAGAAATAACATCTCGAACTTTTCAGATTATCTTGACTAGTATACTACAGTAGAACAGATATATCTCGTAAATATATCTTATTTGGTCTACCAAACACATTTCGTAAACAAGATAGAATTTGATGGATATTTTGACCATGGTAAGGATTTTTACCAAAATATCACTGTTTTTATATATAAATATATCATTCAATTCATTAAGTACGTGTGATTTAACTATAGAAATGTGAACCAAATAACTAGTTAAAGATACAATATGGTCGCAAGGACCGTAGTATTACACGCTATAAAAGGAATGGCATTATTCAAGAGCTACATCTGCGTATTGCAGGTCTTTCTTTAGGCCTTAGATGGTATATAAATTATAAATTAGACATTTATTAACATGCGAAGACCACAATCAACTCTCGATGCCATCGAATTGCTCCGATTTCAAGTTGATTAAAACAGTTCAGCCACTAAATGATTTAATTTGAAAATGGAGAAGCGAGGCTAAGCTTCGATTAACCATCACCGTTGTTACGATAATAAAATTCAATGCACACATCTTGTCAAAACTACACACATTGATAACTTCGCTCAGAATAAAGTAATTTGAATGAAATTTTCAATATATTGATTTTGCATTATCTATTTTGGGCTATAACCCCATTCGCAGTTATTAATGCGCATGCGTGACGTTACTTCCGTTTTTTTGTAAACAAACACGGCAGACGTCGTGGGCTCGTGACTATGGCAAATTGTGCCGTGGTAGGTTGTTCAAATTCTTACTATAAACTGCAGAGATGGGCGAAGTCAACATGCCCTGTTCACAACAAAAGGCAGGACGAATGTGTTTGCAAAGAGCCTTTCCAATTTTTCTCGTTCCCGAGTAATAAAACACAGAAAGATTTAAGACTGAAATGGATAAAAAATGTAAACAGAAAAACTGGTAATGCTAATTGGCAGCCCACAACTTATAGCAGAATATGTTCGGACCACTTTGTGGACGGAACACCAACATTAAATAATCCATATCCTACTGTCCACATGGGATATAACATGGCAGAGACAATTAACTCCAGAAAACCTCCAATACAGCGATTTACAGTGACAGAGACACCAAAATCTAAGCCAAAGACCAGTAATCAGCATCTGGAGGATATTAATCATGATCACCAATATAATTTTAGAAGTAAATGTGATTGTACTCTAGATTGTAGCTGTGAGGGTTGTCTTAAAAAAGAAAGACAGATATGTTTATTAAAAGAAAAGATTTTGTCACTTGAAGAGCAGCTTAAAGAAGAGAAAAGTTGTTTACAGCCAAAACCCATTCACAAGGTGTTAATGGAATCCGATAAAAATGTAAAACGATTTCTTGGAATGCCTAGTAAGAAGCTATTTTTGACTTTGGTTAAAGTCTTAACCCCAAAAGCCAAATACCTCAGATACTGGAAAGGGCGCCAGAGCTTGAAAGTAATGTCATCAAGAGTGAATAAAATGAACACATCATCTAAAACCAAACCTGGACCTGCAAGGAAATTAACAATAACTCAAGAATTAATGGTTGTTTTTTTGAAGCTGCGGCTTAATCTTACAAATGAACTAATAGCAGTGATATTTAATATAAGTGCTAGTGTATGTTCACAAATCATAACGACTTACCTCAAATTCTTAGCTCATCAGTTCAAGTGTCTCATATTTCGCCCCACTATGGAAGAAGTAAAGGCAACTTTGCCTGACTGTTTCAAAGAAACTGTACCCAATGCTCGGGGAATAATAGACTGCACAGAAATGTTTATTGAAAAACCTAATAGTCATGATGTACAGGCAAGCACGTGGTCAGACTATAAGCATCATAATACCTTGAAATGCCTGATTGATATTACACCTACTGGTATAATACAGTTTATATCTCCTGCTTGGGGGGGCCGAACAAGTGACAAGTCTGTCGTTTTAGAATCAGGATACTTAGACACCGTAGAAAGAGGAGATACCGTATTAGCTGACAGAGGATTTCCAATAGCTGAAGAACTAATGATCAGAGGAGCTTCATTATACATACCACCCGGAGCCAGAGGCATGGAGCAAATGACCAAAGATAATGTTTTAAAGACTAAAAAAGTAGCAAATCTTCGCATTCACGTAGAAAGAGCGATAAATAGGATGAAATGGTTTAGAATCCTTTCGCAGACACTTCCGATTTCTATGGCTCCTTTAATTGATGATATTTTGACAGTTTGTGCAATAATAGTAAATTTGTATCCACCTCTTGTCAAGTGATGCACAAGCTTTGTCTTGGACCCACGGCACTTGACTCTGTGACAGACCTTATGATCTAAAGTGCATGCATTAAACCACCCAACCACCTGGCTAGTTGTTCAGATGGTATGAATACACAAGGTCCCATATATACCAATTGCAGTACGTCAAAGATCCCTCAACCATTAAAAATGAAAATAAAGAGTAGTCTGAATTCTGAACAAATTTCATTAGCCCAGGTATGGTGCTGAAAACTAGGACACTAAACCCCATTTAATTTTTATTTCATTTGAGATAAAAGGTAACTCATTTATTGATAATGATATATTTTTTTATTTATGAATATACATGTACTATTGATGTTGTTTTATTTATGATTATTACATGTACAGTACAATTGATATGTTGATATATTATTTATTTATGATTATTACACGTACTATTAATAAATTGTTTTATATATGATTATTACATGTACAAATATCAAGATTAAAATATGAAAACATATTACTTGCTATCTTATTTTTTATGTAATACCCAAACATATAGATTGTCAAGGGAGTTAGATCTGATAATCTTGAAAATTAATGCCAATTTAACATTTATTTACAGTTTGGGCAAAACCACTCATCCTCACTGCCATCAATGTAATCAACACATTTGAAATGGTACCACAGTAAACATTTGTCACATAAAACACTATTACAATCTGAATTATCAATACTATCTTCTGAAACACTTACATTTAAGCATATTTCACACAAATATATAGGCAATGGGGAGTGTTTGGTCTTTCTTCGCTTACATGGTGGGTTTACTTGATTAGTAATGGGTTTAGTAATTTTCATGTAATTATCGTACTCGGCATCAGAGATATTGTGAATATCGTACTCGGCATCAGAGATATTGTGAACATCGTACTCGGCATCAGAGATATTGTGAACATCGACCTGAACATCAATATTATAATCCCCCGATTTATTCAAAATAGTTGGTATAACAAATTCTGAGTAAAATTGATCACAATTACAAATTATATTCTTAAAATGCTTTTCATCAAATGGGATTCTTTCCAGAAAATGACCATGCCTAGTGTACACAAAGAAATCACACCATGGCAAATGACTGATTCCCATCTGCCACTGGATTTGAGAGTAGTATTTATGGGTTTTCTTCAGTGAGCATAATTCTCCTATGTTTACCAAGTATGGCAGATTTGATTCCGATGGACAAGTATGTGCTATCGACATTGGACATTTAATTTCAACCAAACCATCTTGGCAACATGAGCAAGACACTATGCCATCTGGAGAAGCACCATATTGTGGTTTGTCTTGAAGAACTATAAGTCCCACATTTAAAACACAAAAATTGCTGTGTCCGGAAGAAAGCATAAACTTAGTATAAGACATTTTAGCCTCTGACTCCATTTCTATACCATATTTCAATTGGGGTACTTTCTTGTAATCAAAAGATTCTGAATGCAGAATTTTCATCAATACTGATGTAATGTTTTCCCCCCTTTTCCCAGATTTCAAGGAATTGATCCTAGTAAACACATCATGAACAAAAGATGAGGTAATCCTACATTTTCGATGAGAAGCCCATAAGTTATTATCTGACTGACCAACTGTACTTTCTGCAATCAATTTAACATTTTCATCACTAAAACTTTCTAAAACAGACTTTATTTCTGTCTGTGATTTACAAATATATAACATATCGCATAGTGGAGGCGGGGCTGATGTACTAACATCCACATGGAAAATGTCATCTGGTGAGATATCCTTTTGACCTTGAAAAACCACAGCTTTAGGACAAACTGGCAAAAGAGCCTCTTTGATCTCTTCAAAAGAAAATGGATCTGAAGTTTCTATTGATTTCAATAAGTTTAAATGCTCAGTTTTTTGTTTACCAAATTTAGGTTTACGCCATTGAAGATTTTTGGCTAGTACTGGTTGTAACACAGTTTTATGTGATCCATATTTATTCCAAGAACAAATAGTGTCTGTGCACGCTTTATTTGTTAATCCTTGCCTCCAATAGTAATCCATCTTAAATAAAACTGCCGCAACATGGTTACAGGTTGCCCCTAATCTGAAATGATAAGAAATAATTAACATTATGATACATGTATTATTTTCAAATTATTATCATTATTGTTATTAATTATAAGAATCACAGATATTAAACAAATAGATTCTTTCATACTCGTATGGGGGGGGGGTCTCGAGTCCTCTGGTTTCCTACCACTGCTAAAGACCCTTAAATTACGTGAATTATTCAATTGAAATTATACAATATGATAGTCACAAAATGACCTAGTTTGTGTCGAGTGGAGGTTAAACAACAACAACTCTCTCTCTATTTATCTAAAATATTTGGAATACTTATCATATAAAATTTGAATTGTTAAAGATACATTATTCAAGAGCTAAATTTGCCTATTGCTGGTCTTTCTTTAGGCCTTTTAAATGTTATAATATAATATCAGTAATTAGACATATTGACATGACAAGACCATTATATATTATCAACTCTCGATATCATTGGATACCGGTACTTAATATTTTAACTAGATTAGTACGGTTCTGTCATTGAATGATTTACTTTAAAATTGGGGAAGCGATAACAGTGTTAACACACAATCATTATTATAAATACATTTTTATAAATATAAATAACTTTGTTCAGAAAAATGTAATTAATGAAATTTCCAATATATTCATTTTTCATGAACTATTAGGCCTACAGCAAGAATGGCCAGCTTTTTATCAAAATCTTACATAATGTATCCTTTCTTTAATAATAAATAACAGTAACACTAACAGAAATTATGAATAATAATATGATGATGCACAAGACGACTCAGAATAAATCATGTTTTTTCGTGTAAGTAAAAAAAAAAAAACAAATAAAATCATAATTAGTAAAAAGGAACATAAATCAACCTTAAATATTAATTCATTTCAACTTTTTTCTAACCCAGCAAAACAGGTACAGTATGCAGACACAATTTCTCCAGTTTTCTTTACCAAAGTCAGCCATACATTATGAGGTGTGTGATGTATTCTCTGACTTGGACTGCACATAGCTTTTAAAAAACAATACTTTGATTCATCGGATAATGGGTGATAAAAGACTTCCTTGAGCCATTGAGAGTCAAAGTAACTGTAGGCCTTGCCTTCTTTATAATCATTTAGTGCCTTTTTAGTAATTGATTTGTTAATATCTCCGCTTAGGTTATGGAAATACTCACATATATCACAATACATCGTCGGTGGCCAAGACTTTCTACCATTATTTTCATTTATCCAACCGACCGTAAGTTCAGAAAATGGATCAGGGAGTTTGATTCCACCTGCATACAACAAGGATTGGTAGGATCGGGCTTTGAGGCGAAGTTCTTCATCTTTCGTGGTTTTGTCGGGTAAATCAAACTCCAATCCAGCAAAAACACGAGCTACTAATTCTTGTTTGCTCCCATTTACTCTCAATCCTTTTTTCCGACAAAAGTCTTTTAAAGATTGGATATTCCAAAGATTTATTTCGTCAAATTTGACGTCTGTCAATTGATCGGCCATGTCACGTGTGTCTTTGTTTACAACAAGGCGACCTTGACCCTATCCCAGAATTCCTATTTGCGAATTGGGCTATTACAGTAGCACGACCAATTCTTTATTTAAATCTTGCGTAATGTAGGCCCATTTTTAATGATATTGGGGGTTTATAAGAAATGATTGATAGGAATTACACATTTTAGAGTATTTTTATTTCTAAACTTTTCGCAAATTATACTATTCAAAAAAAGTAGGGGATATTTGATTTTGGGGGCATAATACTAAAATATGCAAATGACTACGAAAAAAGTCACTATAGAACCTAACAGAAGAAACATTTCCAGTTACATGTGACGCCCAAACGCACCAATAGCTACCGCATGGAATGCAGGTGATGCTTGGGATCATCATGGGGGTCCAACCCAAGATTTGCACGACTCTGACTTTGAATGTTACAGTCATTGTGGCATTAAATTCCAGGGTGGAAACATCAGTTTAATTGTTTTAGTGACCAGAAAACAAATTTTGATATGCGTCGGCTTACCCAAAATGAAAGGTTACGTGCCCTTGGCATGCTACAGATCGGCACAACACAAGCGGTTGTGGCGCGGACGATGAATGTTTCTCAGTCTGTCATAAGCAGGCTATGGTCCAGATACCGTGATACACAATCTGTACACGACAGACCACGCTCAGGTCGACCAAGGGCGACAACTCAAGCCCAGGATCGATTTATCCGTACCTTGGCCTTGAGAAATCGTGTCATCACAGCAAATCAGATCAGCGCTCGTCTTCAAACAGACACTGGTGTGAGAGTGAGTGGCCAGACGATTCGGAATTGACTGCATAGGGGTCACCTTCGCGCCCGACGTCCTCGCGTGATTCCTTGTTTGAGAGATCATCCCATTCAGGCAAGACGTCGTTGGTGTAGGGATTGTCAACACTGGGATAATCGACGCTGGAGCAATGTGATGTTTTCAGATGAGTCAAGGTTCACTGTTGATTTATTGGACAGACGTAGGAGGGTGTGGCGTCGTCGAAACGAGCGCTTCCAAGATGTTAACGTCATCAGACATGATCGATTTGGGGGTGGTTCTGTTATGGTGTGGGGAGGCATCACTGTTGCTGGAAGAACGGCTTTACATGTTGTTGCAGGGCGTGTTACAGGCCAGTACTACCGGGACAACATCTTGGCAGTCCATGTTGTGCCGTTCGCACGACGTCATGGCCGCCGTTTCATCTTCCAGGATGACAACACAAGATGTCACAGGGCCAGGATCGTTACAGGTTACCTCCAACAACAGAACATCACCACATTACCTTGGCCAGCTCTGAGTCCCAACCTCTCCCCCATCGAGCATGTCTGGGACATGCTTGGACAGAGGTTACGTCAACGTCAACAACGTCCTGCCAATTTCCAAGAACTTGCTGCTGCGTTGCAACAGGAATGGGACAATCTGGACCAAAATGACCTTAGACGTCTCATTAGGAGTATGCCACCTCGGATCAATGCTTGTTTGGCAAACAGAGGAGGATTTACCCGTTACTGACTTGGTTGTGATGCTGTGGTAACTTTGCTGTTTGACCCCGGGTATCATTTTACCCTTATAATGGTCAGTCTGTGCCTTACTTAGTCTAACGATCATTTGGAATAAATCGATGAATGTGAACTTCATTTCATTTTGTCATTTGTTTCTTCGTCAGTTTCATTAGGTGACTTTAATAACACTTAAAAATCAAATATCCCCTACTTTTTTTGAATAGTATATTAGTCACGTGATGACTAAGTGATATTAAGAGTTCAAGTATTTACAGTTTCCTATAACAAAGTTAAGGATTGGGCATAATGCAATATAACTGTCATTTATGATTTGCCTTATGCTATTGTCTCGTCGCCCTATATAAAAACAAAAAGCACAATCCACACTAACCAGTAGCCGAAATACAGCCACACAAGAAAAGTCACAAAACAGGAAGTGGTACCAGCTATCCATGATGGGGCAGGCCTTCCCCACCGTATTTATTTCATGGCAATATTATCACAATGCTTCAGATTATATATATACACGGAATTACTAGATTACACATAAAATAAACCTAAAGCGAGTCCTCGGAAGTCTTAATTGGCGAATATCCTTGTTTCTGCAGTTTCGATGTTAATAGTTTGCTACGAACCGGTATTTCATTATAAAATGAGCTCTCACTCTGGAATAACGCTGGGATGAGAATCGTACACTCCATATGCTGGTGAATGGAAATAGTTCCTAAAGAAATAAAGACAGCAGACACAATTTACTTTTTATCTTTTATACCCAAATCTCTCAATTCTTCCGCCTCAGTATATTCTGGAATTATTTCAGGTATCTTTTGTAGCTGCACCAGCTGGCCAGGCAATAATGTTAGTTTGGTAAATATACCATCCTGTTTACATGTGTCAACTAACGTTTTTGTCTTGCAACCATCGACATTATGTTTATGATACCCATCATTAATTGTGAACGGTTCGTGTGTAACAGGTTCGGGTTGGTTTCTGGCTCGCCTTTTAAGGATGGCGAATCTGATGACCAACACTACACTGCAGGATAAAACAATAACTACCGATATTCCAACGAAAACCATCCCCATTATGAACGGGAAAGAAGATTTGTCCCCAGGTTCTATGGTAGCGTCATAATACTTGCTCAAATCTGTAGTGCTTATATAAGAGTTTGTAATCCGTTGTGTTGTCTCGTCCGTAGCAGCGACTTCAAAATTAGGGATGGCCGCGAATATAAAAATCAGTGAGCTGCTGTATGCAGCCATCCTGTATGTTTGCCTCATAAATAACTGGCAATCATTATCACAATCAAACATAGATGCAATATGTCGTGCCATCTAACACTTTGTATAGACAAACCCAGACGTATCAAATGCATTATTTGGTGTCAAATGCTTAGTGTCTGGTAGCTATAGTGAAGTATTGCGAACCATGCGAGAGACAGACATAATGTGTATTTATATTCTAGTATTGTTCGTACCTTCGAACTTTCAGATTTTTCTGCCTACCTTGAACGAACCTACGTTATACATTGACTGAAAGCTAAAGCTGCCTCCGAGAACTGCATATTGAAAGTTGTGTACAAAACATAGATACCGGATGTCGGTGAAACTATTGATAGATGACAACTTTCGGGACATTATTCAGTCACGGACTGTTATATACTATTCAAAAAAAGTAGGGGATATTTGATTTTTAAGTGTTATTAAAGTCACCTAATGAAACTGACGAAGAAACAAATGACAAAATGAAATGAAGTTCACATTCATCGATTTATTCCAAATGATCGTTAGACTAAGTAAGGCACAGACTGACCATTATAAGGGTAAAATGATACCCTGGGTCAAACAGCAAAGTTACCACAGCATCACAACCAAGTCAGTAACGGGTAAATCCTCCTCTGTTTGCCAAACAAGCATTGATCCGACGTGGCATACTCCTAATGAGACGTCTAAGGTCATTTTGGTCCAGATTGTCCCATTCCTGTTGCAACGCAGCCGCAAGTTCTTGGACATTGGCAGGACGTTGTTGACGTTGACGTAACCTCTGTCCAAGCATGTCCCAGACATGCTCGATGGGGGAGAGGTCGGGACTCAGTGCTGGCCAAGGTAATGTGGTGATGTTCTGTTGTTGGAGGTAACCTGTAACGATCCTGGCCCTGTGACATCTTGCGTTGTCATCCTGGAAGATGAAACGGCGGCCATGACGTCGTGCGAACGGCACAACATGGACTGCCAAGATGTTGTCCCGGTAGTACTGGCCTGTAACACGCCCTGCAACAACATGTAAAGCCGTTCTTCCAGCAACAGTGATGCCTCCCCACACCATAACAGAACCACCCCCAAATCGATCATGTCTGATGACGTTAACGTCTTGGAAGCGCTCGTTTCGACGACGCCACACCCTCCTACGTCTGTCCAAAAAATCAACAGTGAACCTTGACTCATCTGAAAACATCACATTGCTCCAGCGTCGATTATCCCAGTGTTGACGTTCCCTACACCAACGACGTCTTGCCTGAATGTGATGATCTCTCAAACAAGGGATCACGCGAGGACGTCGGGCGCGAAGGTGACCCCTATGCAGTCGATTCCGAATCGTCTGGCCACTCACTCTCACACCAGTGTCTGTTTGAAGACGAGCGCTGATCTGATTTGCTGTGATGACACGATTTCTCAAGGCCAAGGTACGGATAAATCGATCCTGGGCTTGAGTTGTCGCCCTTGGTCGACCTGAGCGTGGTCTGTCCTGTACAGATTGTGTATCACGGTATCTGGACCATAGCCTGCTTATGACAGACTGAGAAACATTCATCGTCCGCGCCACAACCGCCTGTGTTGTGCCGATCTGTAGCATGCCAAGGGCACGTAACCTTTCATTTTGGGTAAGCCGACGCATATCAAAATTTGTTTTCTGGTCACTAAAACAATTAAACTGATGTTTCCACCCTGGAATTCAATGCCACAATGACTGTAACATTCAAAGTCAGAGTCGTGCAAATCTTGGGTTGGACCCCCATGATGATCCGAAGCATCACCTGCATTCCATGCGGTAGCTATTGGTGCGTTTGGGCGTCACATGTAACTGGAAATGTTTCTTCTGTTAGGTTCTATAGTGACTTTTTTCGTAGTCATTTGCATATTTTAGTATTATGCCCCCAAAATCAAATATCCCCTACTTTTTTTGAATAGTATAGTTAAATTACCAAACGAAATTGTCGGAAATGATTAATGCTGGACGATAGCGTTCAACATTATTAGTTGCCCACCAATCCCAGACCAACATGCCAATGCCTGCAAGTTGAAAAATACCAATGCCTGCAAGGCTGAAAAATTAAAATGTCAGTGCCACCAAGAATATTGACCAGTAAATGATGGAAAACTATGACTTTCAATAGTGTTCATCCTTAAGCGGGGGACACACTAACCGCCAAAATTCACTTGTGTGTCCAGAGTCACGATGTCGAACTTGTATTCGCCCGAATGATTCGCGAATGGTTGATATTTTCGGCCGAATTATCATTGG